TGGAAGAGTTTAGGTCCTCATTTGGAGACTAAACATGATGAAAATATAAAGCAAGAACTATTCTAGACTGAACTTAGAAGTATAAAGGAATTGGTTATTTTATTGTGAAGGAAAGGGGTGTATTTATAGGCTTTTGGGGGCTGCAGGGTCTGATACCCGACCGGGTGTATAGGATACCCGATTGGGTATCTTAGAAAATTTCCGTGAAAAGTCATACCCTATCGGGTATGTTGGCATACCCGGTCGGGTATGAACCAAAAATTCAAAATCCTACACGTTTTCTTGTCTTTCCAGATTCTGATTTGACACCCGAATCAACTCAATACCCGATCGGGTATGTCGGTGTACCCGATCGGGTATGTGACAAATCTTTACGAAATCTTGCTCCCACGATCATTTGTTCCCAAATTTGATTTGGAGAATCGAATCAAGCAAATACTTGATCGGGTATTGCTTATACCCGACCGGGTATAAGAGTATTTTATCCAAATCGAAATTTTTCTTGCCTCCTTGCACTTTCCTTGATCTTTTGAGGTCCAATCTTGATCCTTTGTATGATATTTGACCTGTTTAGCTCAGAAAAGTCCTAATCTAAACAAATTAAAAAAATTTTACAAACTAAACTATTACACCAAAAGTGTGTAATTTCTACAACTAGAACTAATAAAAACTATTTAAAATTACAAAAACAAACAATAACAATTCTATACTATCAATTTGCCTTTTACCCGATCGGCTAAATCAAAAACCCGATCGGGTAGATGTGACTAATGAAGATTCCGGACACTTTCTCAAGAAATCCGATCGGGTTTCTGAAAAACCCGATCGGGTAATGACCCTGCCACGTCCAAACACCTATAAATACACCCTTTTTTCTTCCCATTTGATCACCAATTCAGATATACTCTTAAGCTCAGTTTAGAATAGCATTTGTTTATATTTTTCTAGCATGTTTAGTCTCCAAATGAGGAGCTAAACTTCCATTTCTTAGTGTTGCTCTTGAAGCTTGTTGATCATTAAAGTTGTGAGTTATTTTCTTAACTTCTTCCCTTGAATATTAATTATTAGTTCTTTCCTTCATACTATCTCTATATTAATGTTGGGGAGTGTTGCTAAGATGACAATTAGTTAACATCTTGACATTAGTTAGAGTAGTATTTTCTTCCTCTATATTAATGTTGGGGAGTGTTGCTAAGATGACAATTAGTTAACATCTTGATATTAATTATAATAGGATTCATCTCCTTTAATAATATTCTTCCTTGAATATAAATTAATTCCTATTATTAATATTTCCTATTAATATTTTGAACATTACTTAAAGGATCAACTAGTTTTGTTTCATATATTAATTATTACTAGAAACGATCGACGAACCGATGGTTAATCGTTGATGGTTTCACAAGTAAGTAACTTCGGTTTATTAATGCACGGTCATGGTTGATAAACTTAAGAGGGGTTAATTTTGTTGGTTAAACCGAAATCGTTGTGTTGAGGTTATCAATCTCAATTGATTTCATCAACGAGTTAAGAGATTAAATGCTACTATCAAGTCGGTGTATGGCGGTGTTCTATACTTGACTAATAATAAGGGTTATTAATGAACGGTCATTGTTAATAACTACCCTCGATGAATTGGATATACTCCTCGATTGAGTATTCGAGAGGGAATAAGTTATAGATATAACGACGATCGACTAAAATATATCAACAAGTGGAAAGTAGCAATGCCAAGTTCTTTAAACATTGAATTAAAACACATATAGGTTGTTCATCTCAATTTTTAAATTAAATCATTCAATCCCAAAACCCCTCTTTTATTTACTAGTTTCATAAAAAGAGAATAATTCATTTCCCTGTGGATATGAACTCTACTTCACCTATACTACGTATTAGTGATAGTATTGAATTTATTTTGACGCACCGTGACAAAGTGCCTATCAAATTTGGCGTCGTGACCAGGGAAAGGCAATTATTTTTCTTTTTATTTTATTTCAAAAAAAAAATAAAAAAAAATAAAAATAATTACTTTTCTATTTTCTGAGCTTACATGAGTAATGGATACCAACACATCATCGGTAGAGAGTCAAATTTCTAGCTTGACCTTTTTAGTAAAGGAGTTTCTTTTATGCTCAAAAGTTCAAGATACCAAGGCTTGCAACATTTGCATGTCACAAAGACATCTTACAGATTTTTGCCCAAAGCTTCAAGAAGAATACTTTGAACCGAGTAATGATGTTGGTTTCCAAGAGAGGTATGATTCATTCTCCAACACATATAACACATACTCAAGTTCTTATTCCAGCATGTCCACTGAAGACATGATCCGAGCTCTCACTATCAATGTGACAAAAATGCAACAAGATATGTCACAATACCCGCAAGAAACAATGCTCAAAGAACCGAACTTGGAGAATCACATAAAACAAATGCCAAGCGTTGTGAACTACATCCGCGAGGAGGAGGAAGAAGAGGAGCCTGCAGAAAAAGCTCAACCGGAGGAGGAGGAACCTCAAAATTCAACTCCACCACCGGCCATTCCTGAGATCATGCCATCATTTCCTGATGCTCTAAGGGAAACACAAAGGGTAGAGAAGGACAAAGACAGAATCTTCAGCAAATGTGAGGGTAATTCAGATGTACTTGTAGCCCCGCGTTGTGAACCATTGTTCACCGGTGCTCCACTTTCAGAGTGAGTTTCGTTTGGCACGTTTTGCCCACCAGCATTCTGAATTTCTTGAGAAGCCATTTTAACGTTTTCTCACGTTTTCCAAAAACACAAAAAAAATTAAGTTCGTTCACCAAACTAACAAACTACAGTTTTTAGATTGTTTACCGGAGTAGAACAATCACCGAATACGTTTTAAGATTGTATCCGTATGATACAAGCTTAGCAAAATACGTTTTAAGATTGTTGGATGTGTCTCGGAAAAACGAAGATATATTAATTAATAAAAATAATTAATTAAATAAATAGCCAAAGAAAAACAGAAAAAGTGACAGGACAGAGTTCAGCCAGAGCTCGTGCTACGCACGATGTCCTTAAAACGTATTCGTCGCCTCCCACAGTGCTAGGAGCGTTGCAACGACCGTTTCCCGGGATACGGTGGCTAACGAACTAACGTTTGAGCACACAAACGAGAGTTCCGGCGAACGGGAACAAAGGAGAACACTCAGGAAATTTTGGAGTAGCGGGAAGTATTTTTAGAGCTAAAAACTACGTGCAGATTGCTAGTGAACGTGTAAGAACGTGTGTTTGTTGTAAAGCATCCACCAGCTATTTATAGGAGGATTTGTACGTGTTGTGTGTTAAATGTAGTGTTAATGGACCTGAACGTTGGACATCAATGACCAGTCCGTTGGGCATTGAATCGTACATAAACTTTCCATTTAACGCAGCATTAAAAGATAAGAACGTTAGGCATTTATTGCTATAACGTCCCAAAAGACCTCCGGGTGCGAACAGAATACCTCGAGGCCTTCTGGTGCGACCAGAACAGTTTCGTAAGAGAGAGCCTTTACCTTTAAGAATCTTAACTCCTTAAAAGAGGTTTCCCTTTATAAGGGGATGAAAATCCCTTGAGTTTTCCGGTGTGGTATAAAACACACTAGAAACTTATCATTTTCCCTGTTTTTCCATTTCAACGAGTGAACTTCGAGAATCCATTTCTCATTCACCCGTTATCCGTTTTGAGCGTACCATATATCGAATTGTAGCCCTTAACAAGGACAATCCGAAACCATTTTGACCCGACCCAAATCGGAAGTGAACTTCACTCAAATAATTGCCCCAAAATCACCATTTAATGTCATTTTTAACACATTTTTCCAACAGAGATTTACGACACATAAAATAAATTATTGAAAATCTCTCTATTTCCACGGCATAATGAATTTGTTGTACTTTTTGTTCACATGGCATGCAACATAATATCAACCATAATGTCAATATCTAGATGATGCGCTTGACATTGTCAATATATTACACCCGAATATTTTGGCATCAGAGATGCTCTAGTTTACTACCATGGCACTCATGTCACACATCCAACAAGCTAGTCACACAGTCATTGTGATCAATAAAATTTCCTCTTAGTTTTTCTAGAAAAATAAAACAAAATATGCCTGACGGCGGCAGTGGTAACATGTTGTTGGTGTGTAGCTAGGTAGAGATTAGAGAAATGAATTGAAGTGAATAATTTTAAAACAAATTAGTCATATTTTTATGTTTTAGAGGAGTAACGTAAAAGTGATATAGGCCGGTATAGTATGTAATTCTTTCTTTCAATACTTTTAGCACTTAGGAATCTTTGGTGACTGAACGGCTACAATCATTACAATATCGAAACCTCCACCATTATTTAATTTATTTATGGTTAATCCTTCAGCATTACAGTTCATTCCTCTCCGCCGATGCACAACGCCTTCTACATTTTGCCGTTTACAGGTTTTCCTCTAAGTTCTAACATGGGTCGATTTTTTGATATGTTTTAAAGCTGCCCCCTAACATGGCAAGAAGAGATAGAATCAGCCAGCTACCGGAAGAAATACTTGACCACATTTTGGGACTACTGCCTATCCAAGAAGTTGCTAAAACTGCAGTTCTGTCTACTGTTTGGAGAGATCTCTGGACCACTCTCACTCAGCTTTGCTTTGATTATCACTTCTTTGAGTATTTTGACATAAAATATCGGAGGGCTAGCAAATATGTCAGGAAATCCTCTGCCTTGTATGTGATCACCAAACTTCTCTTGCAACACAAGGGAACTATTCGGAAATGTGTCATTCATTTATCTGATGCTGGGATTCTTACTGTGAGGTCTCGGTCCTTTGACTTTGATCAGTGGTTATATTTAGTCACATTTAAAGGTGTTGAAGAAATGCATCTTGATTTTGGACTTAAACAATACAAGCTGCCCAGTTGTATCTTTTCGTGCTCAACACTTAAGACCTTGCATCTTCATGGGTTCTCCATTGATCCATCAAATCTGCCTCGCACATTGCCGCCTACTCTCAAATCAATTTATTTCGAATATGTTGACTTTGGTCCTACAAATCTTTCAAACTATGCTGTTGATGTTCCAATGCTGGAGAACCTCTCATTTAGTTACTGTGAGAATATATCACAGTTCAGCATTACTGCTAGAAAGCTTTGCAGTTTAACAATCAAAGGTTGTTTTAGTAGTGAACTCCACAAATCTATCAGGCTCAACTTGGACTTGAAATCTATCTCTACTCTTGACTTGGACAACTGGTCTCTCCAGGTAATTTAGCTAGACATATATTTTAATTTCTTCTGGACTATAGTTTATTTATATCCCATTAGTCTATTACACAATACATTTAAAGTGATCTAACTTCATTTTCATATGGTTTTCAAGTATATTATGGGCGAAACAGCTACAACGGGACTTCCACCACAACTACATGCACTGAATGTGGAATTCTTGAAGCTATCAGAGTTTTCTTTTCAAAATGATGTTGGGACTGCTGCATTTGTGCGCTTACTATGCATATGCCCGAAGTTGTGCAAACTTGAAATATGTTTTTTGGTAATAAATTAGTTTATAATAATTGTTTCCATGTTCTTTCATGCTACCCCTGAAAAAGAATAAAAGAATTAATAAGGTCCAATGTGACTGAGAAAGTACACCTTTTTCTGTAATGCTGAACCATTGATGTTTTGTTCTTGTTTTTTTATTTAGTGGGAAGAGGACATCAAGGGTATAGATGCTACATCTGAGCAATTGAATCAACTTCGGGCTGTAGTTCGAACATATGAAAGGCTTCTCAATTTGACGTTTAGCTCATTCAGAGGATTTCAATCTCAAATGCTTTTCATGAAGGACATGCTAGAATGTCTTCCTGCACTTGAAAATGTTGTCATAATTGGTGACCATATGTATGACAACTTCAAGGAGAATGAGATAATCGAAGAAGTTTTGTCTTTTCCGCTTGCGTCTGCGAAATCCAAAATTGTTTATTACTAAACGCTCTGAATGTTGAAGCGATTTTCCAAATGGACGGTAGTTTTTTTGTAGTATAACACCGAAGTGTTTTTGCCCAAAAAAGTTGTATGAATGGCAATGTTTTTTTTATGAAAAGCTATATAAGGTAATCAAGTATGCATGAAGTATTACAGTACAAACTTTTTGCACATGCATGTGACGAAGACTTGTGCAGAGTGGGATTTGTGTACAGACTTTTTGCATATTTGGTAATCAAGTTCGGGCTGTAGTTCGAACATATGAAAGGCTTCTCAATTTGACGTTTTTGGTAAAAAAGTTGTATGAATGGCAATGTTTTTTTATGAAAAGCTATATAAGGTAATCAAGTATGCATGAAGTATTACAGTACAAACTTTTTGCACATGCATGTGACGAAGACTTGTGCAGAGTGGGATTTGTGTACAGACTTTTTGCATATTTGGTAATCAACTTCGGGCTGTAGTTCGAACATATGAAAGGCTTCTCAATTTGACGTTTAGCTCATTCAGAGGATTTCAATCTCAAATGCTTTTCATGAAGGACATGCTAGAATGTCTTCCTGCACTTGAAAATGTTGTCATAATTGGTGACCATATGTATGACAACTTCAAGGAGAATGAGATAATCGAAGAAGTTTTGTCTTTTCCGCTTGCGTCTGCGAAATCCAAAATTGTTTATTACTAAACGCTCTGAATGTTGAAGCGATTTTCCAAATGGACGGTAGTTTTTTTGTAGTATAACACCGAAGCGTTTTTGCCCAAAAAAGTTGTATGAATGGCAATGTTTTTTTTATGAAAAGCTATATAAGGTAATCAAGTATGCATGAAGTATTACGGTACAAACTTTTTGCATATTTGGCATATAGTGGGATTTGTGTGGTGAAGACTTGTGCAGAGGAGAAAGAAATGTGTAAGAATGGTTGTGAACCACATATTCTTTACTAAAAAGAGAAAAATGAGATAAATTTGGGACGGGTCGAAACATAAAGAATGAAGATAATTTCAGGATAGATGGAGTATGTGTTTGTGTGACTATGAATGGATGTTTTGGGGGGAAATTCTACTTGTACATAAAAAGTGTACACTTTTTGTATACACACTATTGGGGTTCGTACTATGTGTAGTTATTTTATGTTTGGATAAAATGTGAATATATGGATATATATATATATATATATATATATATATATATATATATATCCATATATATTCACATTTTATCCAATGGATATGTATCCATATATAAAATTTATCGATTATGTTGGGTAGCGATATATGTATAACCACATATGTACAATTGGGTGGCGAACATTATTATGGCGAAGGAACCTTTGCAATTTTCGACACTGTCGGACGTCATGACCAGAGTTCTCACAAAATGAACATATTACTGGATTTGATCCACGAGAGGAGGGCTGCGTGAAGGAGCCCCTACCACGTCTAGTTTGACCTAAATGATTGCTGAGTGACATTAACCGCAGGTAGTAGGTCTTGAGTGGAAGCTTTTTGTTCCAAGTTTCCAGTTTCCTCTTCAAGAAAAACTGTTTGCAATTGGGCAAGTGGAAGAGGGGTCTCACGGATACGAATTGCAGATGTAATATCTGGAAATTGAGATCCCAAATCATTGAGCATATTAACAACGAGATCCTCATCAGATACGAGATTTTGGGCTAATGCGAGAGCATCAGCGATGGCTTGCATGTCGGCGAGATAATCGGTGACAGAGCCGGATCCCTTCGTAGTGCGGAACAACATCATTTTGAGCGAGATAATACGCCCACGGGAGGTGCGCCGTGGAGGAAGTGGAAATGATGGGTTGAATCGGATCCGAGCAGCTGCCAATGAGGGCACTCAGGATGGTCTTGTCTTGTCGATACCAGATGGTATAACAACGATTGGTTTGTGTTTTGGCAGCATCAAGAAACTGATCCAGAGAAGTAATGATATCATCAACATATTCTTCAAGTCCTAACCCAATAAGGGCAACATGATTACATGAACTTGGCACTTCCAAACTGGAAAATTTTTTGTCGGTTGTTTGATTGAAAAGTGGGTGAAGGCGGTGATGGAGATAACTGAGGTGGATTCGATGATGACCATGATGAAGGCTCTAGGAAAAAGAATTGTCTCGTTCGAGTGAGGCGCTTGATACCATGTAAAGCAATATGATTGTATGTATTGAATTAATAATCATGGTACAGATACATTATATTTATATACACTTGTATAGGAAGCTATATGCGAAAGGGTACTAATGTGTAACTAACCTATCTAATACTCCCTCCGTCCCGCAATGAACTTCTCACTTTCCTTTTTTGGATGTTCTAAAAATAAGTTCTCATTTCCTTAAATGGCAAGTTAATCTACATCAAAACAGTGTCAAATTAACCGTGCAAAAACAGTGCCAAACAGTGTCAAAATAATGCAAAACAATGACAAACAGTGTCGAAGTAATAATATTTACCCTATGGTAAGTTTATTTCCTTAATATGTGTAGGTCAAACAGTGAAGTTCATTATGAGACGGAGGGAGTAGTACGTACAATAATAGCTAGTGCTGTATGACTAGGTTAAGTGTTGTACTTTAGCTAAGTAATACTATCGTAAGAGATTATTATTAATATTAAATTATGTTTTAATAGTGATAAATGATCTGTAAATACTTTATTTGTCCCTAATAACTTTGCTAAGTTTGACCGGCACGGGAAATAATAGAGTGAATTCCCGAAATAAGAGTAAAAAAGTTTTGAAATTCCAAAATAGTACTATCATGTTTTTTATGCTTTGAATAGGAGTAAATTTTTGCCAAGTTTGGCATTATTAGGCTTTAAAATATGGCATTTTTTTCAAACTTGGCAGATTACTCCCATGTAATAAAAAACATGATACTTATATTTTGGAATTTTAAAACGGTTTTGTTCATATTTAGAACAATTAGTAAAAACTGTGTGGTTGAGGTTTGTGCAGAGGAAAGAAAATGAACTGGAATCAAAAATTATTTACTTAAGAGGGAAAGTGGCAAAGTTAGTGGGACATCCATAAAAGAAAAGTTATCAAAATTATAAGGGATAGAGGGAGTACATTCCTTTAATTAATTTTAAGTACTACACAGTAATTGGGAATAATATTCGTAAGTGACTCTATCAGAGTAATACGGAGTACTACGTGCAATAATTGCAACAGTGTTTTGGAGAAATCATGCATGAGTTTGTGGTTTACTTTCAATGCATGCGAAGTCAGACCTAATTTAACAAATTGGGATAAAAAAGATTAAAACACTTAATGGAGTTATTGGTCCGGTAAAATGAATTTCGGCTGCCAACGAACATAACATTAATGGAGATTTATCCATTTTGTTTCTTTCATCTTGAAGACTTGAAGCGACGAAAATGAGTTATTTCTACGATGAAGCTGCAGCTTGAAAACTACTGTACAAAATAATGATGTTCTTTAGCTTTCTTGAGCCACATGCTTGGGCCGCAAGAATGATTAAGACCATCTGATCGTTTGGCATTAGAGATGGACGGGGTACACTTTTTGGGTATACATTTTTACCCATTGTATGTGTAGGCTTTTTTTGGTCTGTGCAGACAAAATGTGTTTTCGTCAAAATACGTTTTGTCTATACAGACAAAAAAAGTATCTACACAGAAAGTGTATAAAAGTGTGTACCCCAAAAAGTTTGTACCAAGAGTATTTTTGTTGGCATTATATTATGTTGTGATGAAGTGAAATCATATGCGGAGTACTTCGTACTATGTAGAAAATTATAATAATAGGATAATGGATTAATAATGAATTGTTGTGAAATGAAAAAGATGAATACTATATTTAATAGATAGATATTATATTAATAAGCTCCAAATTACTTATTCTTAACATCTGAAATTTTCTGAATTATACTAAGGATTGATCACCCTATTTATACTAGTTGGCTAGGAGATGAATCATCAAAGAATCATTCTACATAATCTGTTGACAACATTAAACCTAGTCATCTGTCTATTACAAGAATGAGAATTGGATTAGTGTCCTGATGATAAGGATGAACAATTCACACTTGTCATTCTCAGGAATTTACAACATGCACCCTTGAATGTTCATCCTTGAATAAGTATTTGTTATATTAAATTTTATTTATATAAAAAATTAAACTTAAGTGGTAAGATTTATGACTTATAATGTCATTGTATTTGGATGTATTGTCTTTTTAAAAACCTTATCAGGAAAAACTCAGTTGGGATAAAAACTTGATGAAGTGAAAAAGAGTGCAGTGCATTCAAATACTCCCCCTGAAATTAACATAAATTTTGAAGACGACGCATGCCAATTTTCTGTACAAGTTCTATGAACTTCTTCGGGGGTAAGGATTTGGTGAAGAGATCCGCCAGATTTTCACTGCATCTGATTTGTTGGATATTGATCGTCCATTCTTTCTCCAGATCATGAGTAGAGAAGAATTTTGGTGATATGTGTTTTGTTCTGTCTCCTTTGATGTAGCTTTCTTTAATCTGAGCTATGCATGTAGTGTTGTCATCGTAGATCACAGTAGGGTGAATATTAATAGGCTTCATACCGCATTCATTTTGGATGTGTTGAATCATAGATCGCAGGCATACACATTCTTTTCCGGTTTCATATAGTGCAATTAACTCAAAATGATTTGATGATGTAGTTGTCAATGTCTGCTTCGTACCCGGTTTGTGATTTCGCCTTTTGAGGATCTGATAAGTATCCAGCGTCTGCATATCTGATTAAAGTGGCTTTTGCATCTTTGTGGTAGAATAAACAAAGATCAACTGTACCACGGAGATAACGGAATATGTGCTTGATCCTGTTCCAATGACGCCTCGTTGGACATGAGTTGTACCTAGCTTATAAATTTACAGAAAATGCAATATCTGGTCTAGTATTATTAGCTAAATACATTAAAGCTACAATAGCACTCGTATATGGTACTTTGAGTCCGAGTATTTCTTTGTTGTCATCTCGGGGACGGAATGGATCATCGTGTATGTTAAGAGCTCGAATCACCATTGGTGAAGTCAACGGATGAGCTTTGTCCATGTAGAACTTCTTCAAAACTTTCACGGTGTAATTGGATTGATGGATGAAAATTCCATTCTTCAAATGCTCAATTTGAAGTCCGAGACAAAATTTGGTTCTCCCGAGATCTT